TTTTTTAAAAAAACAGGACTGACATCGGGATTAGGGGGCAACTAGGAAAAGAGAGGATAAATAATGTACACTGCAGTGAAACAGATAAGTGAAAGGACTACTTAAAGGAATATGTGATTGGGTATTACATGGATGACAACAGTCCAGAAGAAAAACTGCATAGTAAAGTGGACTGGGAGAGGGGGATTGTACAACTATGAAAGACTCTTTTTTTTCCAAGAAAAAAGTGAACCGGGGCGGGGTGGATGGGCAGGGAAGAAAATGTGCAACAATGAATAAGCTTTTGTTAAAATCACAATAAAAATAAATTAAAAAAAATAAACACTAGGTGAACCAAAAGAATGTGGAAATTATCAAACAATATCTCTAAATCATGCTGACGATTATCCAAAGACAAGTGGAACAGCAGAGCACTTCCAGATGTGCAAGTGGAATTTAGAAGAGGCCAGTGTTGGAGAGATTTTAGCCAAAAGCAGAGATCAGATGAATGTCTATCTATGTTTCATTGACTATGGAAAGACATTTGACTGCGTAGACCACAAGTAATGGCTAACCTTGAGTAGAATGGGGAACCCATAACGCTTAATTGTGTTCATGTGAAACCTACAACTGAACCAGGCAGCAGTTGTAGGAACAGTAAGGAAATATTGCATGTATGATTTAAGAGCAGGAAAAATGTGTGTTTAGGAAGCATCCTATCTCTGTACCTTTTTAATCTATATGTGGAACAGATCATTCGAGAAGCTAGACTTTATGAGGAGGAATATGGCATTTGGATTGGAGGGAAACTCATCAACCACCACCTTGCTTGCTGAAACTGATAAAGACTTAAGACATTTGCTGCAGGACATCAAGGGCTTCAGTCTTCAATATTTACTGAAGCTCAACATCAGTAAAACAAAGATTTCACCACCAAGCCAATTGGCAGAATCATGATAGATGGAGAAGAGATTGAGACTGTCAGCGTTTTAACTTGTTTGATTCCTCAATCAACACTCTTAGAACCAGCAGTCAAGAAATCATAAGATGAGTGGCAAGAAGCTGCACTGCAATCCCAGAGGTGTGTGGTTCAAATCCACCAGATGCTCTGCTGAAGAAGGAGGGACATTCTCCTCCTATATCAGTCCTATTTGACGGTACACACATTATAATAATAATAATAATAATATTAATTACATTGGGAAAATCTGCTGTCAGAGATCTCTCCAGAGTACTGAAGAGCAACGATGTTCGTCTGGAGGCTCAGGTGCACCTGGACCAGGCCATGATCTTCACCATTACTTGCTATATCAGAGAGCTGGACAGTGACTAAGGATGATAGAAGAAGAATCAATGCCTTTGTGTTGTACTGGAGACCACCAAGAAAACAGGTCTGTCCTGGAAAGGGTGTAACCAGCACTGTGAGTCACAGGACACATAACAACAACATGTCCAAAGTATGTGAAATAAAGCTCACCGTACTTTCCTCCAGGGAGCATGCTGGCTGCTCTTTTTCTAAAATATTTTTGTTTGTTCTTTTGTTAATCCATGGAACATTTGGTTCTCTTCTCTGTTTGCTTCAGAGTGATGCAATTCAGTCTAGAATATTTCTTTATATGCTTTTAACTTAAAAAAGGTTTTATGAAACATACATTCTTATACATGGGAAATGATGTATTATATAAAATCAAACCAGTTGCCATCAAATCTAGGCCCCTGCTTTTTAAGTCCATAGGGTAAGTACGAGTGCCTCTTGGATTTTGTTAATCTAGAAGTGTTTCTTTTATGGATGTTGACTTCCTCATCTCTCTCCCAAGGAGTGGCTGGAGGATCCAAACCACTGACCTTTCTTTTCCCGTCTTCTACCATCCAGGCTTTTCTGTGTTTATATCTCAAGCTTGTCTGTCTTGTTACCCTCATGAAAATGCCATGGGATTAGTTCAGACCGACTCTTAGTTTATAGATGAGTGAAAGCTTTTTGTGCCATCTAAGTATCTCTTATTTTATGTATAACCCGCTTTTAATATTCTGTGACCACAAAAATTTCACAGTACAGTATTTTCATGAATGTTAGATATGGAAATATTTGAAATGTATTTCACTTATAAATGATCAGAAATCTTCAAATCTGGAAACATAGTGAAAATTATAGTAGCCTGTTGACCAGGTGTGACAAAATGTAGATGGTTTGTGTATGTATGACAATGCTGAAATCGTAATCCATTTTAATCCAAGAGCATGCTGCCATTTTTAACAGGAGGTGTGTAGTAAAGGCCCCGTGTCAAAGTACTGATGACCATCCATGGGCACAGACCTTCAGTCGGGTTCCGGATCTTTCTGTGCTCAGAGGAGCTGCAGTGGAAACACACTTTGCTGAATGCACTGAGTATCTGAAATCCTTGAAGGATAATTCATCACGCAAGCACCACATCAGATCTCACTCTGGATCCAGTGCCTGTCCTTGTAAAGATGGTGGAGAAGTCTGCAGCCATCCCTCCTACCACCGCACTCCTGCTAAAACTCTGAGTGGAGAGAAACCCTATGAATGTAAGGAGTGTGGGAAAACCTTCAGTCGGCCTTCCCATCTCATGTCACATCTAAGAAGTCACAATGGGGAGAGGCCTTACAGATGTAGAGAATGTGGCAAAGGTTTCCGTCACTCCTCTCACCTCACTGTGCATCTGAGAATTCACAGTGGTGAGAGGCCTTACGAGTGTCAGGAATGTGGCAAAGGCTTCAGTCAGTCCTCAGACCTCACTAGGCACATGATTGCTCACAGTGGAGAGAAGTGTTTCACGTGTAAAGAATGCGGCAAAGCCTTTAGTTGGCGATCACAGCTCACGACACATCTAAGAAGCCACAATGGGGAGAGGCCTTACAAATGTAGAGAATGTGGCAAAGGCTTCCGCCATTCCTCCCACCTCACAGCACATACAAGGATTCACAGTGGAGAGAGGCCTTTTCAGTGCAAGGAATGTGGCAAAACTTTTCGTCATTCCTCACACCTCATTATACATATGAGGATTCACAGTGGAGAGAGGCCTTTTGAATGTAAGTTATGTGAGAAAGGCTTTACTCAGTCCTCTGGCCTCACTAGACATATGAGAAGTCACAGTGGAGAGAGGTCTTATGAATGTAAGGAATGTGGCAAGGCCTTTCCTCATTTCTCAAACCTCATTATACACATGAAAATTCACAGTTCAGAACGGCCTTATGAATGTAAGGAATGTGGGAAAGCCTTTCGTCATTCCTCGCACCTCAACAGTCATATGAGAACGCACAGTGGAGAGAAGTGTTTTGAATGTAAGGAGTGTGGGAAAGGCTTTAGTCAGTCTTCACACTTCCTTATACATTTGAGAATTCACAGTGGAGAAAGGCCTTATGAATGTAAAGAGTGTGGGAAAACCTTTAGTTGGCCATCCCAACTCACTTCACACTTAAGAAGTCACAGTGGAGAGAGACCTTATAAATGTAAAGAATGTGGGAAAGCCTTCCGTCATTCCTCACACCTTGTTAAACATGGGAGAATTCACAGTGGTGAGAGGCCTTATGAGTGTCAGGAATGTGGCAAAGGCTTTAGTCAGTCCTCAGATCTCACTAGGCACATGATAACTCATAGTGGAGAGAAGTGTTTCGAATGTACGGTTTGTGGAAAGGGCTTCCGTCACACCTCGCATCTTGCTATACATATGAAAATTCACAGTGTGGAGAAGCCATATGTATGCAAGGAATGTGGCAATATCTTTTTTAATCCCTCACACCTCACTAGTCATATGAGAACTCATATTGGAGAGGGGCCTAAACTACCAGCTGCAGGAAAGTCTTCAGTTAGTGCCTAGTTTTTACAAAAAATAAATAACCTCACAGAGACAGAGACTTCATAACTTGAGCAATAGGAGTAATTGGTCATTATCCTTCACTGAATATGTAAAATATCACTCTGAAAAGAAACAGTTTTAAGTGGTATGGGAAATAAGTTTTTTAGTGTATCTTCAGATATTACTACTCATAAAATATCACAGTGGAAAATAACAACAAAAAGACAATATCATTTAAAAATAGGCAAAGAACTTAAAAAGGCATTTGACCAAGGAAGTAAATCAGATGTCCAACAAACATGAAGAAATACTGATGACCATTAGCTGTTACTCTATGACATCAACTTAATTCTGACATTCAGCTCTCCATTCAGTTTCCAAGGGTCAATCTTTATAGATCAAACTACCTAAGTAACTCCTTTGAAGCAACAGCTTTTTTGAACCTACTGACCTTTGGGTTAGCATCACAGTACAAAATTCACTGCACCATCAGAACTTCTCTGTTAGCTGCTACAGAGATGCTGATTAGAATAGGGAGTTGTTGCCTCATCCTAGCAATAATAGCAATGTTTAGCAAGAAATGCAAACTTCAACATGAGAAAACAATGACTTGAAAAGATTGGAATCATGCCCTGCTGGTGGATTGTGAAACGGTGCATCCATTGTGGTAAACATTTTGGTACTGCCTTAAAAATGTGGAAATAGGGTATGAAGGTCAGGGAGAAGATGGTGCCCCCGGTGCAGGTCTCTCTGCTCATCAAGCTCACCCGCTCCTCTGCGCTCATCCTCGGCATGGCCTACGGAGCCAAGCGCTTCAGTTACCTGAAGCCAGAGAAGTACCATTTACCCCAGAAATCCCACTATTGGGTACATACCCCAACAAAATCAGAGCTCCATCATAGGTAGGTATTCACACACCTGTGTGTTCACTGTGACATTATTTACAGTAGCAGAGCAACGGAAACAGCAAAAGTGTCCATCAGATGGAGGGGCCAACTGCCACACACACACACGCGCGCGCGCACGCGGATACTGTGCAACACCAGATAGTGAAGAATTTATGAAATACCAGATAATATGGATGGATCTGGAACACATGCAAGAGACAAGTGAGTCACAAATCGACAGATAGTGTATATAATCCTACTTAGAAAGAGCTGAAGATGACTTTGTATGAAGAAATCTGCTTGGATGGAGGACATAGATAATTGACACATATTAAGCTGAGTAAAAGGAATAGGGCACAATAGAAACGTGAACAAGAAACAGACAGCAAAGTGAGTGTGGTTAAGTACACAGCCCTGCAGCATCAGCAAAAAACACTCACCTGCACGCAGATCTGTGAGCAGCCGGCTTAGCGGGCTAACAGCCATGGCCATGAGTAGGTTGGACACAGATCTTATTTCTACCTTCAGATTAATACATGCTGCAAATCTATCCATGTTATATATTTTATATATATATATATATCATATGTATAGAGCAGACACTCTATATGTATAGAGACCCTCTATATGTATAGATGGGCCACAGTTATGTCCATTTCTTCATTGTAACCAAACACTGTGGGAATGAGTTTGGGGTCCTAGACCCATAATCTTGCAGGATGTCATGGTCAGCAGGCATCCACAGAGGCAGTGTCTATCCTGCTTTGATAAATGGCCACTGGGGCTGAGAAGTTTGAGAATTGCCATCTGAGGTCCAAATATTAGCTTCCTAATCTTGAACAAAGAAGAGGGAACAAAAGCAACTACATGCTCTCAGAAAACAGAACTGAAGAGTGACTGGCTGCTTCTGCTGGATACGGACCACAGCAGGTCTCAGAACAAAAAGGGGGAAAAAAATGTGGAAAAAACTTAAAAGCCTAAAAATCACTAGACTTAGTGGCTTAGAGAATTGGTGGAACCCAAGATCTGGTTCTTAGTTCCCTTCAGACATGGAATGAAACATTGTAGCTCTGTGACTCAACCTTCAGAAAAACACTAAATATGACCAGCCCCTGGCAGGAACTCCACAGTCAACCCCATGAGATCAGCAGAACAGTGTCAGCCCAGGGTTAGAGCCTCCAAGGTAGGAAAGGATAGCATAGGGTAAGGTAGGGTAGGGTAGGGTAGGATAGGATAGGCAGTGGAAACAATCACAGAAGGATGCAGGAAATACATGGTTACAATGTGGGTACTGTAATTAATTTTGTATAATATCTATGATTGAATGGAAAAGGAATTTACAAAATTCAACTCTTACCACAATTTAAAACGTCATACTTTAGCAATCTTTATGGATATCAGGAATTTGTTCATATATAGGAATTATTGTGAAACAAGCACTGATTGGTTGTGTACTTTTATTTCATCTTTTAAACATATACTTTCCACAAATAAGGTGTATTTTCTGTGCCTCCCCTTCCCAAAATAACCTGTAACATGGTCTCATCCATAGACTCTGAGTCATCCTATAGACTCTACAAAGTATTCATCTGTAATAAGTGTTGGGATTTTGAAAACTAGAATCTAAACAAGATTGTGAAATTTTCTTTTTAGATGTTTGTCTTAAAAATATTTTCCAACTTATAAAAATATTGACATTTCAGCATTCTGTCAGATACAAGTCATGTGTGGTGGGAGTCTACAGTGAGGGAGAAGTGGGGAACCCATGCCACCAGCAAAAATGGGCAAGTCTCAGAAGAAGAGCCAGGTGGGCCATGACCTCCCAACTTTCACTGTATTTCTTTATCAGCAGTTTGTTTATTCAGTTAGTTTGTCTTCTATAAATTTTATAAGTTGGATGTTAGATCTAGTATGGTCTGTCAAATGCAAATGCAATGCAAATCAAAGAAGTAATTTAAAGTATTTTTAAAAGCTTCTTAGAAATATGATGTAATTGTGACATATTTAATAAAGGTTTTTATTTAACCCAGCACATCCAGTTACTGTGGCATCCTCTGTAGGGACCTAACCCAGATATGGTGCCCTATTTGTCCACCAGCAGTTTTGCAGGGGTAGATGGACACTGCGTCAGTGCCATTTACAGCCTCTGAAAAGCTAGTTGGAGGGTCTGTTATGAGTCAATTCCAACTTGACTACAATAAGTTTGAGTAAAAGTTTTAAGTGAAATTAACAACTGAAATAGTCAATGCATATTTAGTTGGAAGACATTCTCTGTCCCCTCTCTTTTTGTGTTCATGTATCCAAGGCCCAGAAGTAGCGTGTCTCATGCCTCGTACTGTTACATAGATCGCATCCCGGTGACTCTAAACATATTTTCCAATCCTTAAAGCAAGTTTATTGCAGTAATTCAATTAATTTACTTTCATTCCATTTCTCAGTTACACTAAGCATATTAGTATGTAATTGCAGCAATTCCCAAGACCGCTCAGCTTCTCTGTGATTGACCTGGGCCAACATGTCTGCCCAGCCACTAGCCCTCCCAGAAGAATCTCACCAACTATTGTCAGGACTCAGGCATAACCAGGGCATCCTGCCACTGGGTCACTCGTGTCTGCCTCTCAGTGAACATGTAAAATGCATGTTTTCTTAGCTCACCAATTCATACTTCTAGTCCTAATAGATATAGGCATTTATAATGAGTCTTTTGCTTTATAATATAAAAGAAATGGTCCTGGGCAATGTTAAATTGACTTCATTCAGGCTGTTACAGTGAAGAGGGACCAAGCAGAGTTGAAGTTGCCCCAGAGACTTAAGATAAGGCAAGGTGGCGCTTATGCATTTTGAGTGATGGGGCTACTGGACATTTGTTGTTGTTGTTATGTGCCATCGAGTCGTTTGCAATTCATAGCGACCCTATGTACAACAGCCCTAAACTGTGCTCTATCCTGTGCCAATCTCATTGCCTCTGACACACCCATCCCGTTTACCCCAGTCACTGAATCAATCCACCTCATAGAGGGTCTTCCCCTCCTGCGCTTTCCCTCTACTCTACCCAGCATGATGTCCCTCTCTAAAGACCTGTCTCTCCTTACAACATGTCCAAAGTACGTCAGATGAAGCCCCAGAATCCTTGCCTCCAAGAAGCAGCCTGCTTTAACCCTCTCTAGGATGAATCTGTTTGTTTTCTTAGCAGTCCATGGTACATTCAATACTCTTCTCCAGCACCACAGCACAAAGGTGTCAATTCTCCTTCTATCCTCCCTAGTCATTGTCCAACTCTGATGCATAACAAGTGATTGCAAAAACCATGGCCTGTATCAGGCGCACCTTAGTCTCCAGAGAGACACCGCTGCTCTTGAGTACTTTAGAGAGGTCCCAAACCACAGACTTTCCCATTGCAATACGTTTTTTTATTTCCTGGCTACTGGTGCCAAGAGTATTGACCGTGGAGCTGAGCAAACTGAAGCTGTGAACAATCTCAATCTCTTCACCATCCATCCTGATGCTACCGATTGGTCCAGTGGTGAGAATTTTTGTCTTCTGGACATTGAGCCTCAGTCCATATTGAAGGCTGCAGTCCTTGACCCTCTGCAGTAAGTGCATGAGGTCCTCCTCAGTTTCAGCGAGCAGGGTTGTGTCATCTGCATAACGCAGATTGTTGATAGATCGTCCACCAATCCTAACGCCACGCTTCTCCTCATAGAGCCCAGCCTCTCGGATAATCTGCTCTGCATACAGGTTGAAAAGGTATGGAGATAGGACACATCCCTGGCGTACACCCTTCCCAATTTTGAACCATGCAGTGTTGCCCTGCTCTGTTCTGACGACAGCCTCTTGGTCCAAGTATAGGTTTCTCATTAGCATGATTAAATGTTCTGGGATTCCCATTCTTCTCAGAGTCAGCCACAGTTTGTTATGATCCACACAGTCAAATGCCTTTGCATAATCAATGAAACACAGATAGACATTCTTCTGGTATTCTCTGCTTTCAGCTAAGATCCATCTAACATCAGCTGCAATATCCCTAGTACCACAATCCCTTCTAAACCCAGCCTGGACTTCTGGCAGTTCTCTGCTGATGTACTGTCCCAGTTGTTTTTGGATAATCTTCAGTAGAATCTTGCTTGCATGTGAAATCAATGATATTGTTCTGTAGTTTCCACACTCAGTTGGGTCGCCCTTCTTTGGGATGGGAACAAATATAGATCTCTTCCAGTCAGTTAGCCAAGTGGTTGTTCTCCAGATTTCTTGGCACAACTTGGTGAGCACGTCCATGGCAGCATCTGTTAGCTGAAATACATCAGTTGGTATACCATCTATTTACTAGGAGGAAATTGCTGGAGGACCATGGGTTTTATGCAAGAATTCTAGTTTCTTTCACAAATATTGGCAGAAGTCTGACTTAATTAGGTTGAAGCAAGAAGTATTCCTAGGGTGTAAATGGGCAAAACTTGTTGCTTTCTCTATTTTCAGTTCTTGGTACTTACATACTGTAAAGTGAGCTGGCTACATAGGTGTATATTATGACCATCAAGCACTCCCCAGAGTGTATACACCTGAGACATTGACTGCACAGATTGACATTAGTCAATTAGTCCCGGATGTGCATTAGTTCATCTTGTTACCTGTGTGATCTGCTGGCAGTATCTTCCTTGTATGCTCTGCTTCTGCTTCCCTTCTCCAGTGACTCAAGCAGGGGGCCTGTGTCTATAATGACCGAGTACCTGGTGAATGAGTGCTTAGATCCCCAGAATGACCTTCTCTCTACAGAGTCAGGGCTTGCTGGCACCAGCATCTGCTTGGTCCATTCTGCTGACAGTTTGTGAGTATTTATGAGATGTTGCAGTGAATTACAGAACCTCAAGAAAGACAGGGGAGTGGATGTGTGGAGAAGGGTGAGTTAATGTTGAACTGGGGGGCATGCAGTACTCTTTGTAAAGTTGGATATTGAAACCTCTCCACTCCACCTCATAGGAACTGAGGCAAGTTCTTAGTGGTAAGAAGTTGCATTGCAATCTCAAAGGCATTCAGTTGAAATCCACCAGCTGCTCTGCAGGAAATAGATAGTCTCCTCCTATGCAAGGAGTGTCAGCTGTGTCTCAGTTTTGACTTGAAGAAACACAACAACACCCCCCTCCACCTCATGGGAACTAGCTTTGTGCTGATAGGTGTAACAGAAATTATGGGTGTGATTGGTAGCAGAGTAGTTGGGATTCCATGCAGGTTTGGACAAAAGAGGGTAAGCAGGCAAACTGGAAGTCTTTGGTCTTGACACGGATAAACACCCATGACTTGAAACAGCTGCTTTGGCTGAAAAGGTATTCACAGCCTATGGACAGGACAGTGGATGTAATTCCTGAGGAACTGTCTAGTAGAACACATGTGGGAGGCACTGATCGGAAAGGGGGACATGCAGACCTGGCTAGGGTTGTCACAGCTGCTTTGACAGGAAAAGAGCTAACCAAATCCAGATCCAGTCAGTTCAGAGCTACAGCCACTGATGTCCATGCCGACTCTACCAGGAGAGACAATTGAAACGTCAGGAATTATCCCTATGAGCACCGTGCACCTCTCGGTCCAGGAGGGAAAGGGCAGGACTAAGTTCAAGGCAGGGTCAGTGTACAGGAGTCACTTTGGTTTGAAAATCAGCATCACTAAAATGCACCCCGGCTGGGAGGTGCCATTAGTTTTCATTGCTACAGAATGGAGGAGTGTCTGGGTCAATGTAAAACCTACTCAGAACACATCAAACGGTATACTTGGTGGGCAAAAGGAGGTGTATGCTTTGAGTGAATGTCTGTCTGCAAAGCTGGTGTGTTAGTCATTCCATTTTCTGGGAGAGCTTACTGTGCTTGGACCATGAAGAACATGCAAGTGGACAGTAGCCTCCCAGAGCCTTACAAATCAATGCAAGCTGTGGCTTCAGTGCCTCCAGAAATTGTTTCAGCACAGGGGATGGGATTTCAATCTCGGAAGAGTTGACTTTGATGTGGAAGGATCCATCTTTCAGTTTGACACAGAACCGTTTGCCTTCACCAGCTTGCTGTTGTATGACAGTAACCCAGGTATGTCTTAAAAGATTCTGGCTGTAGAAATGTCTGGTGGGAACATTCCCCATCAGGAGTGGAGAGTACCACTAGGCACCTTACTGTCCAGATGCCTGCGAGAAGTTCAGGATGGTTCCTGGAAGCCACACCCCACTCCAACAAATTCACAGAGGCCAGAGCCCCTGCTCCTTGCAGCAAACAACTTCTAGGTATTGTATGGACTCTGCAGCACAGGATGAGATGATTACAAGAGCAGGGCCCGTGACCCCAAGGCAGAGGAACCAGGTTTTGAACAAAGCCATACAAGGCTCACCCCAAAGCAAAGGATGGCCTCCTCTCTGGCCTTGTGTGGACCTTGCCAGCAGCACAAGGCCAGCTGGTCCACTCTGTTTCCTGGCCAGAAGCCAGATCTCCATTTCTTCCAGTGGACAGTATCTACAAACCTCCTTTACTTGCCTAACTCCTCTGGAGAAAAATCTTTCTTTCTTATGCCTCAAGGAAGCTTAAGAGAGAAAGGCAGATGGAGACATGAGGAAGGGCAGCCTGCTAAGTCTAGTCCTGGAAATTACACAAACTCCAAACTCACCACAGTAAGTAGATTCAGAGAAGAGCTGTATTTCAGGAACCACACTGCCTCTTCTTATTCCAAGAGTCTGAGAACTTTGACCAGTATGCCCTCAGAACATTATTGACACTCCTTTCCCCATCCTGTGTGGACATACCAGGGTTGCACCAACTGGACTGTAGCTAAGTGACAAAAAGTACGCTGCAGAGCACCCAAGCCAGCTCACGTGTGGACTGGCTGGAGTATGGGATACTGGAACTTCCCCTGACCCAGCTCAGCACCCTATGGTAATGAATGATGATGTCACTCAGGTCCACGTATGTAAGACTTGCTGAAATATCCAACATGATCTAAATAAAAATCTTTGGAAAGAGAGAGGAGTTAAAGATGTTGTTAAAAGAAAAGCAGACCTCTTTTTTTTTTTAAAGATTATACAGCACCACGTTTTAAAATTTTTTAATACCAGAATATTTATTGCAGAACTAAGCATTGAAATTCTTAGGATGACCTGGATGCTGTAACAGCAGCCCTCCTGAGTTCAGGTGTTGGTCCTTCACAGTCCATGCCTGAATCTGCAGTATTCAGTCTTCTGGTACCTCATATGATTAGTATCTGGGTATTTTGCCTTTCAGCCTCGGCACTCCAGCTGTACTTTCTCTTGTACTTGGTCTTGGCAGGGTGGCCACATTCGTGCAGGTGGACTTC